ACACACGGGGACACGCACACACACACGCACCCACACACACGCACACCCACACACACAAAAAAAAAGCAAAAAAAGAAGCGACCATGACGAACAGGTAGGGAATTGGACTGGCGCGCTAAGAGTCTTCTAGTTTATTTCAATGGCGGATCAATTAACTGGAGTTATCCCTGGTAGTTGTAGATAAGATCATGGATAACATGGACAACAGAAAGGTACCGCAAGAGCATCAGCAATGCTTTTAGCCGGCGAGTGAAACGCAGCAAGCAGGAAATCGATTGATCTGAATTCTGACGATCGATGTTCTTCTTATTCACGTTAATACCACCAAGTTATCCACGCTATATCCATTACCTTATCCACATCTATCCATTATCTTATCCACAACCGTACAAGAAAGAAAACGTTATACAACGGTATCCGTTATCTTATCCACAACTACAGTATGTTTTCTTTCGTGCACGATCGATGTTCTTCTTATCCACGTTATCCATTATCTTATCCACAACTACGTTACCCATTTTCTGATTAGCTCAATCGTGCACGAAAGTCCGACAAATACGATGCCTAATTCCGCCCCTCCCCCCCCCTCCTCTCCCCCCTCCTCTCTCGCCGGTCTTCTTTCTTTCTATCTTATCCACAAATACGATGCCCAATTTCTGATCACCCGTCTCCCCCGAATACAACGTACCAACAAGCAATGGCCCAAGTTATTACGTAGACATTAAGTTTATTGGATTAAATAATTAAATAATTAATTACAGTATTATTCAGTTTCGGTGTTGCTTCCCGAAAACGTAAAAGCTCCTCAGGATTGACTTACATTCAACCAATTAAGGCCCGTTTCTCTAACAGCTCTACATCATTTTATCCCAAAAAAAAAAAAAAAAAAAAAAAAAAAAACGAGGAGCCTGGCAACAAAAAGTTGTGCTAATCGGGATGAACGTGGAACTTACAAGATGGTTCTGGGTCAGGGGGAGGGGAAAAAAAAAAACAAAAAAAAAAAGACAAAAAAAAAAAAAAAAAAAAAAGACTTACCAGCTTATGTTGTGCTAGAAAGCGTATCGTTTCGCGAATTCCCGACGAAATAAGGTTCGACGTGAACCCCAAAAAAATTTTGGATTTCACAGAAGACCGAACAGCGGGATCCCGATGCTCCGGGCTGCAGTCCGGCTCCACCGCCTCATCCGACAACCTCCAGGAAATCTGATGACGTCAACAAGAAGAAGAAAACAACAACAACAAAACAACAAAGACCAAACAAAAGGAAGGGGAGGGGACCGGGGGGGGTGGGGGAGGGACTTAGAGACAGTCCGGGAGATTCACAAGCAGGCAAGGATTTTTCGTCGTGAGTGCGGTCCAAGTGCATTCAGGAAAGTCGGCGAGTGAGTTGATCTGACCTCAGGCGACCAACGAACAAAATACCCGTGAACCTTCGAAAAATCAAAGATAAAATAAAACAAACTAAAAAATTTTAAAAAATGAACAGCATAAGTCAAAAACTTAATACTAAAAAAATTACTAATGAATCAATAATTAAAAATCCGTTACCGAAAAGGACCAGACTGACCTGCTGGAGGCTGAAAGTAGCACACATTTAAGTCTTCATAAACAGATGAGATTTTCTCTCTTTTGCCGGGGGGGAGGAGGGGGGGGGGGGAAGGGTGAGAGAATTCCACCACATCGAATTCCAATCCTACCGGATACAGTAAGGTTAGGACCCATTACCCCTCGTGGGGGGGGGCGGGGGGTGTTGAACAACAACACAAGACATTTAAAAAAAAAAAAAAAATACAAAATAAAAACGAAGGACAAATTCATAAATTTCACAGCGATCAGATCGGAAAGAAAAAAAAAAGATGATCACTTCTCGACACTCAAACGTGCCAACAGACTCTCTCTCTCTCTCTCTCTCTCTCTCTCTCTCACACACACACACACACACACACACAGGGGGAGAGTGTGCATGCATGTGGACGCTGTGTTGCTGTTCGTTCTTCACTTTATTTCTCAAGTCTTTAGGACGATTTGCACACGTGTATGGACAAGCAACACGCTGGTCGTCTAAACCGCTCATATATCTGAACGCCTGTGAAGGATTCGTTCATATACCTCCAAGCAATGCCAGTGAATACCCCTAGGCATGCGCGTGTTGTGTGTTCTCTAAGCAGCGTGTCTAAGCATGTGTGTCATGTGTGTGTGTGTGTGTGTGTGTGTGTGAGAGAGAGAGAGAGAGAGAGAGAGAGAGAGAGAGATGTGTGGGTGTGTGGGTGTGTGGGTGAGGGTGAGAGAGAGAGAGCAGGGTGTGTGAGATGTGTGCGAGGGTGTGTTCAATTGTTTGTCTATTCGCTAAACATGTCAGGGTGTATGTCAGGGTGTTTGTCAGCCCGCTTGTGTGCAGTGCAACCATGCGTATGCGTGTGAGAGTGTGTTTATCCGCTTGTGTTGTGTTGTGTTGCTCGCTCGCGAGAGGATGAAGAGACGCGAACAGAGGCGTCTGAAGAAAAAGAGAGACACCGAGACAGAGAGAGAGAGGGTGTGTGTGTGTGAGAGTCTGTCGTGCCGGTGTCATGTATTTGCCCCCTTGTATTCTGTTGGTGGCGGCGAGAGGGCGAAGCGACACAAACTGAGGGATCTGAACAAGACACAGATACACACACACACACACACACACACACACAGAGAGAGAGAGAGAGAGAGAGAGAGAGAGAGACAGAGAGAGAGAGAGAGAGAGATGCGCATACCATTCTGTTGACCTCCTGGACGGCGCGGCCGAAGTGGCTGGCTTGGAATCCCGTGGTCAGCATTGCTTGGAGAAGCGCGTCGTAATCAACGGTTCCATTTTGAAAATCATATCCTCTTACGATGGGAACTTCAGTGTCTAATTTGTCCGATCTGCAGAGCACGGCCTCTCTGACTAACACCTCTGCATCCCCCACGAGACTGCCGGCCTTGCTGCCGCACCCACCACAAATCACGGGGCTGACGTCAATGAATGCCACGTCAGCACTTCGTCCACATTCCTCCATCTCGCCAACCTACAGGAAAAAGGTATATTAACTGTTGGGGGGGGGGGAG